AAACTAGAGTAGTAGATACCAAAAATGATTTGATTATTATTTTTGACAATTTAAATATATTTATTAGTGTGTAAACTTCAAATGTGTGATAACATTTAATGATAAATCAAATTAACATATAGAAATGTCATAAGTCCATCACTGAATATAATATACATATATCTATATATACACGTATGTATGTGTATATGTACGTTGTATATAAGCGTAAAAAAAAAGAGACAAAAAAAAAGAAAAAGATAAGAGAGAGAGAGAGAGAGAGAGAGAGGAAAATACGTAGAAACGCACAATGGAACATTTGAAAGAGATAAAAAAATTGAACTTAACCCTATCTTGTACGTTTCCAACTGTAAAATGAAATAAAAGTGTTGTTGTTGTTTTTTTTTCTAACAAAAAAAAAAAAAGTAATGGTATATTAACCTTAGGGTTGAGGATAGAAGTAGCAACAACCAAATGTTCCTGAAGTCCTTTGTATCCCAGGGACGACGACGAAAAACGATCCCCTCGTGGCGACACCGCGACGAACAACGTACGAGCTTCTTCATACACATTTAAACACACTTAAAACGTTATATTCACTGTATCTCACTGATATTTCTTCTTTACTTCTTTACTTTTCTTCTTCTTCTTTTTTTTCTTTACTTCCTTCGACACTAAAAAGACCAAAATAAAAAAAGAAAAATCCTTTTTCTATTTCCCTTAGATATAAATTCGTACAATTTATCTTCTCTTTCTTTGACTTAACCTCTCAAAATCAGACATGTGTAACGTGAACTTTATTTTATTTTATTTTACTTTTTATTTTTTTTTTAATTGTTTTCAAATTCTTCTTTAATTCGAACTTTCGATGGATAAATATATGTATGTATATATATATCTTCTTTTTTTTTCTCCCTTTTTTTCCCCGACAACGACGACGACGACGACTATTTTAATAATAATAATAAAAATAATAATAATGACAGGTGATCCAAACTGTTAAAGAGAGAGGAGATGAGAAAAAAGCACACACACGCGAAATTAAATCACACGTCGAAAGGCCGTTCGTCGTGTTCTTCTACGTTCGCGACCGTCAGCTGCCTCTCACGGAGATCATAGACCAGCTGTGTTTTTGTTCGACCATTTGGGTAAACCGCGCATGCGCATTACCGCCCGACCGCCATCTTTACTTTACTACGGAGTCAAATCATTCGACGCGCCAAATTTGATTATACATTTATCATTGCGTTGTTCTTTTTCTTTTTTTTTAACTTTTGCTTTTATTTTTACTTTGTATCACATTTAATTGTAATAAAGGAAATCGAAAATGGATAATAGTATATTTTATAAATAAAACAAATTCGATATATCGATATGTATCAATATGTTATTACAAATGATATTATTTTTCGATATGTTACGTTTCCTTTTATTTTAATTTTATATAAAATTGTTATATAAATCTTATGTTTTTCCTCTGTTAATCTTTAATCTGAATTTTCTTAAAATAATTATCGACAGTTAATTTATTTTTAATTGTTTCGAACGTCTCGATGGTAATCTTCGTTCCATTTTTATTTAATTGTTTAAAATTTTATTGTTAGAAATATGAAAGTGTGACTAATTTATAAAGTGTAAGTAATCAATAATGAAAAAAAAATAGTCTCGACGAGATGAAAAAAAAAAAATCGGGCCCCTCCGGGATTTGAACCCGGGACCTCCTGCACCCAAAGCAGGAATCATACCCCTAGACCAAGAGGCCTCGATGTATGGGCCTAACAATTTAATGTAGAAAAATCAACAGATAACTTCATATTCGTACATACATTTTATCAAATATTTAATATCTCTAATATGTTTTTATTATAAATAAAAACGAAATATGTTTTGTGTGATTTCTTTCTTTTTTCTCCCGTTATATTTTGTGACATTTCATGGTTGCACAAAGCAATTTATTTATACGATAATAAAATAGAAATTAATAACAGAAACAATGTATCAACTGTGATATACAATATTTACAGAATGTGTTTTATACAATCAAAAAAATCGTCAGAATAAAAAAGTTAATGAACAATTCTAAAAAAAATAATAAAGTTTAAATAAAAACAGATTAATATGTTACAATTACCCCTTGTCTATCTTCACAATTAACTTCCAATTATTGTTCGTACGATTGATAATAATTTTAACGTATAATCATGAATTTAAATCAAATTACAATTGTGTTTGTAAACCGTAATATGAAATAATAAAGGAATTCGTATTCGCATGTAAGCAAACAATGTTTGAAATAATTGAAACAACGCTTACCAGTTGAAAACGAATTGAACAGATCAAATATTTGATCATTATTCTTAGCCAGACAATAAATTCTCTTAATAAACCCAAAATAATTATTATAAATTCAATTAACATATTCATATTGAAAAAATCTATCACTAATCTATTCCTACACTCGCAGAAAATCAAGATGATGGTAATACTTATTACCGTCTGATATTTTAATTCCGTTTAAGTACTGACAGATGTCGCTAGACGATAATATGAGAAATAACTGACTTACCAACCTTTATCATCGATAAAAAATCACGTCTACAATGCAATGAAAAGTGCATTTCTGATAAAACGATAAAATTGATATTATTTATAACAAAATGTTATCAATATCTACAATATTATTATAACTTTCATTAGAACAATTAAAACACACAGAGATATTTATGTTTAACAAACTTTTTTGTTTGCGTCAATGGATATATATTTTTTTTAATATTATTAATTTTGTCATTTTTTTTTTATCGAAATCTATGTAAATAAAAATACTACGAGTCTAACATAAGTTCTGTAAAGTTAGCTCCATGAAATATAATACCATTTCATAGTTTTCTCTTTTATACAGTTTGCCAGGGCAATTATTTCACATCTTTCTGTGTAAAGATTCCAATGGAAACCAGAAGGACATTTTCGAAGAACCAAATCGCCGTCTTTGCAAATATAAAAATTTTCGCAAGAGCAGATATGAGGATAAGTGGAACCGTTTGGAGCACAAACAGAGCCAGGTATTGGTTCGGGGAAAGGTTCTCTGGAAGGTTCGGAAGTTTCAAGGGTGGGTTTTGGGAGAGATTCAGTAGAAAGTTTAGTAGAAGGTTTGGTAGGTGATTGTGTTGAAGGTTTATCTGAAGGTTTGTTAGATGGTTCTGGGGAAGATTCAGGAGAAGGTTCTGGAGGAGATTCGGTGGAAGATTCTCTAGGAGGTTCGGAAGTTTCAGGGGAGGGTTCTGGGGGAGATTCAGTAGAAGGTTTAGTAGAAGGTTTGGTAGGTGATTGTGTCGAAGGTTTATCTGAAGGTTTGTTGGATGGTTCTGGAGAAGATTCAGAAGAAGGTTCTGAAGGAGATTCAGTGGAAGATTCTCTGGGAGGTTCGGAAGTTTCAGGGGAGGGTTCTGAGGGAGATTCAGTAGAAGGTTTGGTAGAAGGTTTGGTAGGTGATTGTGTCGAAGGTTTATCTGAAGGTTTGTTGGATGGTTCTGGAGGAGATTCAGAAGAAGGTTCTGGGGGAGATTCAGGAGAGGATTCTGGGGGAGATTCGGTGGTAGATTCTCTGGGAGGTTCGGAAGTTTCAGGGGAGGGTTCTGGGGGAGATTCAGTAGAAGGTTTGGTAGAAGATTCTGTCGGAGTTTTATCCGAAGATTCGGTGGAAGGTTCTCTGGAAGGTTCAGAAGTTTCATTGGAAGGTTCTGGGGGAGATTTGGTAGATGGTTCATTGGATGATTTTGTGGAAGATTCGGTAGAAGGTTCATTGGAAGATTCTAAGGAAGATTCGTTAGAAGATTCTGAGGAAGATTCTGAGGAAGATTCTGAGGAAGATTCATTAGAAGATTCTGTCGAAGGTTTGTTTGAAGGTTCAGCAGAAGGTTTAAGGGAAGTTGTGGAAAATTCGGTGACAGGGTTTGACGTAGTACCATAAGATTTACACCCAGCATTATTTGGATAGTCACAAACTTGTAGCTTTGGATTGAAGTGCAGTTTATCTCCCTTACTGTTCATTAATGGACAATCCATTTCTATTTTCTCGCCATCAAAACATTTGTAGAATTTAGTGCAGTCAGATTCGTGAGCCAAGTGGACAGTATAGTCAGGAGAATCTTCTTCAGGGCATTCCGTTGGTATTGGTGTTATGACAGTGTCACCAGCCATAACTATGGCTAATGTTGATACCAATATAGTTACTATTATATACCATTTTTCTAAAATTTATTCAAAGATGTTGTAAACAAATTATGCACTTTTAATTTGGACAATTATTATGAACATGTGTATTTCGTTTGAATTTAAAATGATTCTTACCTTTCATCGTGAGCTTTGAAATTATTTGACTTTTTGGTCTTGACTGTGTGTTTTTTTCTGAACGACTTCAATTGCAAAACTGTCAAGATCAAGTTGCATTGACGACTTTTAAAGATCTACAAAATTCTTATCACCTTTTTTTTTTCACATCATGCATATTTTATACTCTTATCTAATCTACCTGCATATTTATCAATTTTTTGTTTTGTTTTGTTTCAATCTCTCGTTTTTTTCCCAGAATACAAAAAGACGGATATGTTCTTAGGTTTTTTGTATTTGCATTATTTCATGTGCACGTTACAATGTAATCGATCAAAAGATATGTACAAACACAATGTATGAAACAATAACGCAATGATTTCTAATTAAATTCTTTTATTTAAGCTTGAATATTAATTCAGCTTAATAAAAGATTACTTTCTCGTGTCACAATAATTCATTTTTTATCAAGTAACATGCATCCAATAATGTTTTTTTTCTTCTTCTCATTATTCATTTGTCTTTAAAATGTCATCGAAAATATTTGTTAAGAAAGTCATTAGATATCACTAATAGTTTAAATTGAAAATTAGAAATCGTAACTACGAGTTAATTTGCAAAAGTATTATGAAATATATTTGATCTTATACTTGCATGTATGAAATGTTCAAATGCAACAATTATCTGGGAATGAAGAAAAGAAGAGACCTCACCACTTAATTGTAGCTCAATAAGGCAACTATCAAACTACTAAGTTATTTAATAATTAGTTATTAATTAACAGTTAATTTACTTATTAATATATTACTCGTCAATAATTTTTTCTTTTATAATATATTAATTACAGATGATCATCGTTGGATTAATCATCTACTTTGTTTGATTTTCTTCTACTACTAAAAAGCAAACCGGAGGATGGGGGTAGTCTACCTGGCCATATTCACCTGATTAATTAGGGTAATGTCGGTTCATTATTTAATTGGGAATAACGTTAAAAGCTATGGTGTATAATAACACAGCTTACAATCTCTTTATTATCGTAACACACATATAACGCTATCATTGTATCTCGTATCGGTGTACAACTTCGATTGTTCGCACATTTAACAAAAATAATTTCAATTATAAATTGATCATAAAAAATTGTCTACGATACTTAATCAAATCGAAGCTATTGGATACAACGAATGGTATTGCGTTATTTTCTATTTATATATATATATACATATGCATGTGTATAATAGGTAAGATTACCTTTATAATTTGAGTTATTACTCATGAGTGTTGTTTTTTCTTTTCTTTTTCATCCAATTGACGATATGATAAGATTTTTTATTATTTTTTTTTTTTTTTTAATCATAACATCTCTTGACGTCTTAATTATAATATGCTTGACTCGAAGTATCTTTCATTCTTTTTATTTTTCTTTTGACAGGAGTGTTATTAACGATTCCACGAAGACAATCGGTTGGTTGTTTGGTTGGTTGGTTGGTTGGTTGATTGGTTGGTTGGTTGACAGAAAAAATCTGTCTGTGATAAAAAACGTAGAAAAATGTGAAATATCTTATTTTACGATGATAACATTTTTCATTGCTTGCACATCGATTTGATTTTTTCTTCTTCTTCTTCTTCTTATTATTATTATTAATTTATTAATACAAATAAACAGCTGTGGAACTTTTTTGGTTTCTTCTTTTTTTTTTCTTTTTTTTTTCTATTTATCAAATGCACATCGTAAATTTTACACGCATCATTTGTGTAATAATATTTAAAAGTTAACATTACATTTGTTATTACGATGGATTAAAAATATGACATTTATTTAGTTTTGTCGATACATCATTTTTAATAATAATAATAATTTAAAAAAATGGGGGAAGGAGGGAATTTAAATGCTATTACGATTTCTATTGTTTTTCTTTTTTTTCAAGCACTGTACTTTTGTGACTAATTTACTTTAATTATTTTAAGCGTAAATATCACTTTTGCACTTTGCGATTAATAGTACAAACATTTGTAATATATTATATATATATATATTTATATATTATATTTTTGTATTTTTAATCGTAACATTTAATACGTATTATTTGTCAATTACAGATTGGTACTATGGTAGGAAAATCGAGAAATCGATTATTCGATTTTATTTAACGAATATTAGAAATATTATTATACAAGTGCACTTGTGCTGATGTATTCTGCAATGTTTTGTTTATTCTCCCAATGCTAAACAAATATTTATTTATTTTTTTTTTTTTTTTTTTTTTTTTTTTAAATTTTCCACTCAATGACATTTCCCATTTATTTTTTTTTTCTGGTGCTTTTGCTATATATATATACATTTATTGTAAAATTATTTAAATGTTATTTATTTTTATTTCTTGTTTTTTTTTTTTTTCAATTTCCACTCAATGAAATTTCATATTTGTTTTTATTATTATTTTTTTTCTAATTTTTCTGATGCTTTTATTATTTATATATATATATATATATATATTGTAAAATTGTTTAAATGTTCCGGCAGTGAACGAGCTTTTGCAGACCAGCGTCTATAATACCCCGCACAATCAAATTAATTTTAATTATTTATTTAAAATATTATTTACGAATAATAATAACATTTGACGAAATCAACATTTGTTTGAAAACATTGTTCCAATTATATTACGATTATTCACGAAATTAGAATACATAATATTGGTTAAATAGAATTCTAATTAGGTTTTTTGTTTTGATCATCGATGCAATTGCAAACGTGTTTTTAAATCATTAACAAATGTATCGTCGTTAAGATATGTTTTCTAATTCTTTTGTTAAATATTTGTATACCGCACAAGTGATTCTCTTTCGTACATTTCATTCCAAAAAAAAAAAAAAAAAAAAAAAAAAAAATAACGACGATATTTTTTGTTGAAAATTACAAATGATTTACGTAAAAATAATTAATTTCACAATGAGTTGAGAACCAAAAAAAAAAACAAAAAGAAATTAAAATCATTTCTCAAATAATACGAAATGATTTATCTAATTAACACACACACACACACACACTCTCTCTCACATATTCACACGCGTAACGTTAAACACGGTATTCTCGTAGAAAATGTTTTTATCACACATTTTTTTTTTGTTTTCTTTTCAGTTGCACATTTGCACAATTCTACCTGCAAAATGCAAAAGTTGTTTTTTTTTTTTTCGATAATTTTTTTCTTCTCTTTCACAGTTCTTCTTCTCCTACTCTTCGTACGATTATTCATCTTGATTTATTTGTTTGTTTGTTGTTGTTGTTTTTTTTTTGTCATAGATATATCAATAGAATTATGATAACGATGAATCTACGCATCCATCATAGGAGTAATCGTAGCTGGTGTAGTCATTTGATGATCGTTCGTAGTATCATTTGGCATTAATGATATGTTAATACCAGAAGTATTTTCTTGTAATGAATTTGAACCAATGGTTTTGTTAACCGGTGGTATGTAACTCCACCATGCAAGGAAAAAGAACAACAGGGATGCAGCTTTGCCAATGAATGCCAATGCTAACATGTAACTGTAACATATGACCAATAATTAATTTAAAAAAAATACAAAGGATTGATTCTATTTTTTATTTTAATTTTTATCTCTTTCGTGTATTGACAAATTGGTTTCTATCAAAAAGATCACTTTAACTTGTCCAACAACATTTTTATGGCTATTGCATGAGTATGCAAAGTGGTAAAACACGTCAGGGGTGGGTGGGGTGGGGGTTTCATTTTTATGTTCTTTCCTCGTGAGAGTTGTAAAACTACTAGTAAATATGTTCAATAAAACCAAAATGAAAACAAAAATATAATATAAAAAAATAAATATATATTTTTAAAAATTATTACTTACTAATTATTGTTAAAATAAAAATATATTCCAATTAAATATGTTAATTAATTAATAAAATATCATATACCTGCTCATGTAATAATTGTCATAAACGAGACATGCGCCTCTTCCATCGCAATTTTCTTGCCATAATATGCAAGTTTCATCGATTAATGTACCAAATACCATTGGTGCTGGTATCGTACCTAAAATTCTAACCTTTATCCATTGTATACCAAGTGCAAATGATCTTTGATCGTCACGTACGACTCTTAACGTTGACGACAACGCTGGCATCGTACAAAGAAACGTAACGAACATGTTGCAAAATGCTAACACCACGAATAACCATAAATAAGAACACGTGCTTGTACAGGTTGTATTAATAGCCTCGTATGTGATGTTCTCGTTGTTTATATTAGTCGTCCAATTTTTGTTGCTAGATTGTATGCAACTACAATCTGCGTACACCTATATATCATTAGAAAAATAAATGATAGTTTTTGTTTTTGTTTTTTTTTTTGTTGTTGTTATTTTTAATTTGACGTCAAATATTGAAATAATATTAGGGTGAATTTAAAATGTTCGTAAGTTGTATTGTGTTGAAATTTTATTTAGAAACTGCATAATGGATTGTTTTTTTTATTTTTTTTTTTTTTGCTAAGATTTAGTTTGCAAATATTAATAAAAAAAGAAAAAAATCTCACGAACTTTTATTGCACCCTAATATATTATTTTTTTTTTTCTGTAACGCGATTCGATCGAATTATATTATTATTAGAATGAAATATATATTAAATATGTGATATTAAATAATTAATAGATATTTTTATAATTATGATATACTTTGACGTCGTTCATCAATATTTCTTGATAACATCCAGCGTGGCAGGGTGAATAATAAGTAACACCATCGATACCACAAATAGGATTAAATTCCGATCTGGTACATCCGCAGGCAACGTTACAATTATCTTCCAAAGATAACGATTTTCTGAAATGTAGGTGATATATAAATATACATACATATTTCTATTATTTACAAAAAAAAAAGAAAAAAGAAGACAATTATTTTATAAATATTGGAAAGAGAGAAAGAAAGACCAAAAAAAAAAAAAGATAAAAAAACCACTTTTTCATTTCAAAAATATGCAACGTGACCCGAATGAAGTAAAAGAGTGGGGCTCCTCCCCTCTTCTTCTTGAGGTGATGGTGGTGGTGGTGGGAAGGG